ACAAAAACAGACATAGGGCCAAATGGAAAAGAATAGAATCCCCGTAAATTAATCCACAAATACCTAACTACCTACCTTTGAAAAATGAGTTAAAATCATTCCCAGAAGAAAGGCTGTTCTCTTCATGAAATAGTTTTGGGAAAACTTGATCTATGCATTCAGAAGTATGAAGCAAGACCAATATACTACAACTTATAATAAAAATCAACACACAGTGAACCAAGGAAATAAACTATAGATGTAAAACCATCAAATTACTAGAGGGCAGCATAGGGTAAACACCACAACACATTGGCATAGAGAAAGACTTCTTGGAAAAAAAAACCCAGAAGCACAATCAATCAATTAAAAATAGACAAATGTGATTACATCAAGCTAAGACAATTCTGCACAGCAAAAGAAACAATCATAAAGGGACACGGCCAAAAGAGAATGGGAGAAAATATTTGCAAACTATGCATCTGATAAAGGATTAATATCCAGAATACATTATGTCCTCAAACTCTGAGACAACACAACAAATAATTCAGTTATGAAATGGGCAAAGGAAATGAATAGGCATTTTTCAAAGGATGAAATACAAATGGCAAACAGACACATGAAAAAATGTTCAGGATCACTAGACATCAGGGAAATGTAAATAAAAAGAACAATCACGTATTACCTCATGCCAGTTAGAATGGCTGTCATCCAAAAATTAAAAAATGATAAGTACTTATGATAAGTACAACAATTATGGAAGACAGCGTGGAGATTATGCTTAGTGAAATATGCCAGACCCAAAAAGACAACTACTCAGCAGTTAAAAACATGAAATCCTGTCTTTAAAAACAAAATATATGCAACTGGAAACCATTATACTTAGTGAAATAAGCTGGTCTTAAAAAAATAAATACCGTATGCTTTTTCTGATATGGGATAACTAAGAGAGCACATAAAAAAGTAATTTATAAAAGTGAAATTGACATTTTCAAATTCGATGATTTTTAACATTTATCTCGATTGTTGAGGAACAGTGGATTTGTCTTCATAATATTTGTGGAATTCTTTAATTAGTATAGAATTAATATTACGGGCATAAGGTAAACTGAAAACAGATTTCTGTAAGAATTAGGAATTTGAATAGGAGAGGGAGGAGGAAGAAGTGTGGAAGTGTGGGAGTGTGGGAGACAGGGAGGGTAGGGTGGCAAAACTATCACTAGGTTCCTGAATCTCTATATAGTAGATACTTGAAATTTGTATACTTTAATAATATTAAAAATATATTCAAAAATAATATGGAAAAACATATACATAAAAGATGGTTACTCTGAAAAAGTGAAAACATTTTTGCTATCTGAATTATATAAACAATATTGTTCCTTAGTGGTTTATAACCCACACTTCAATTCAAAAAACTAAAAAGAAAAACTATATAAAACCTTTATGAAGATACTTTTGTCCATATTCTCTTGTGTTAAATCTGAGACATTTGCTATTCCTCTTGTCGTTTAACCTAAATGGTTCAAAATAGCTTTGAGAGAATAAGGCATTGATCAAAATCTCTTGAAAGTTAGAGGAATCTCAGGTAAGGCCTAAAATCCTTGGTCTTTAAATATTGGAAATAAATAGTAAATTATAATCACACACAGGAATTATGAAGTATGGTGAGACACAACATAAAGTGAGTTGCAGATTTTGCCATATGGTTACATTTATGAGCAGTGATCCAGGGGAATCAGGCAGTTTATGGCATCCTATAGCAGTATATTCTGAACAAATAAGGTATACAGTTTGGGTTCTTTGCTACATTACATGTAACTTTCAAGAAAGCCTTCAGTAAGACCACTAGTCTGTAAGAAACTCTGGTATTAAGAAGAAAACTTGCTGATTCTCAAAAGCAGAACACTAAAATTGGAAGACTAAAGGCTGTGTAGCAGAAAAAAAAATTAATTACATAACAGAAGGAAGCAAAGTTAAAGTGAAATGATGTCAAAGATCACAGAGCTTGCAACAGAACCAGAGACCAGCCTCCCTATTTCTTTTTACTTGGATTTATTTTATTTTAAAGGTAGAATTTCAGACAACCAGAGACAGACAGAGGCGGGATGGCAGGAGAAAAAGACACAGAGAGATCTTCCATCTTCTGGTTCACTCCCTAAATGGCTGCAAAGTCAGGGGCTGGACTGAGCAGGAGCCAAGAGGCAGGAACTCCATCCAGTTCTCCCATGTGGCTGGCAGGGGTTCAAGTAATTAGACGAAATCCACTGCTTGGCCAGGAACGTTAGCAGGCAGAAGGATTCCAAGTAGAGCAGCCAGGACTTACATACACACTCATATGGGATGCCAGCATCCAACTGTGCTGCAATACTGGCTCCAACCTCCAGATTTCTACACACAAACACACATACACTCACAGAGACTTACCCAAGAAATACTTTGCTTCATTTAAAAAGATTGTTTCTACTGTAAAGAAAACAGCCCAATAATGGGTTCAGAAGGGTGGACCAGTTTCTTATTAATGATCTTACTAAGGGCCAGTATTTTTAGCCACAGAACAGGAGATAACCCACTACCCTTTTATCTTCTATGCCACCATAGGTCTGGAAGACAACAAGAAGAGCATGGGGATGCAGCAGGTTAAGCTGCCACATAGGATGCAGGTATCCCACATAAGAAATGGTTTCCCAGCTACTCTACTTCCAATCCAGTTCCCTGTCAATGCACCTGGGAACGCAGAAAATGCCCCCAAGTACTTGGCACCTGCCACCCACCACCCACCACCCATGTGGGAGACCTGGAAGGAGTTCCTGGCTCCTGGTGAGGGTCATCCAGACCTGGTCATTGAAGCCATATGGGGAATCAACAAGGGAATGGAAGATCAACATCAGTTTCTCCCTCTCTGCCACATAAATGTGTAAGTAAATGGTTTTTTTTTAAATAAATACAAGGGGGCCAACAATGACACAGTGGGGTAAGCGGCTGTCTGCAGCACCAGCGTCCTACACAGTCACCAATTTGAGTCCCAGCTGACCACTTCTGATCCAGCTCCCCGCTGATGCACCTGGGAAAGCAGACAAAGATGGCCAAGTGCTTGGGTCCCTGTACCCACATGGGAGACCAATGAAGCTCCTAGCTCCTGGCTTCATCCTGGCCCAGCCTTGGCAGTTGCGGCCATTTGGGGAGTGAACCAGTGGATGAAAAATCTGTCTCTCCATCTCTGTGACTCTCTCAAATAAATCATTCATGAATCAATTTGGCTTCTGGGACTTAAGTGTCAATTTGAAGTTTCTGTTACTTAATCTCAGATTTTAGCTGACAATCAGTTAAGTACACCATATTTACTATGGTAGGAGAGGAAGAGAGAAAAAAATCAATCTTCCTACTTCCATCAGCTGATTCACCCGGCAAATGACCTCAACAGCCATGGCTTGTCCAGGCTGAAGCCAGGAGCTTAGAACTCTATCTGGATCTTGGATGTGTGTGACAGAGGCCTAAAGTACTCAGGACACCTTCTGCTGCTTTTACATGCACATTAGAGAAATGGATCAGAGTGTAGTAGACAGAACTTGAACTAGCACTCATATGAGAAGCTGGCGTCACAGGTAACCATTCTATATTTCTTCCTTTAATGAAAATTTTCAGAAATTAATAGAGATGTCTGCTTTACAACTCTGACTATATTTAATAACTAAATTTTACAATATAATGGTAAATTTTTATGTATTTCTTAGAAAAGTTGAAAGTATTGCTGAAAAATAATTTAATTTGTAATGTGAAAATATGTAAAATCAATATTTATGGACAGGAAAAAATGAGCAATTTTGGAAATTCAGTCCAGTTATGAAAGAGGATGTGAAATTTGCTATGGAGGAATTAAAAAAAGTGTTCCTCAAATTTACAGGTCTTTGAAGAAGACACAAAGTACTTGATTTTATGAACAGATAATGATGGAGGGTGAAATAACAAATGGGAATATTCAAATTTTGAGCTTTGTTGTTTAAACACAGGAGAGCTTAAACACATAAGGGGGGCTTGAAAAATCTCATGAAAAATACTTATCATGAAAAATTAGACATGGTTTTCAAAACTTTTGCACTAAAATAAATATATCAACTAATTCCATTTCCTGGAAACACTTTGAAATTCCCTCATATTAAATGTCATCTCTGTAAGATGGACAATTGTGAAAGCTGTACTCACTGACCATACCAAAAGTGAGATAGACAGATAACTGCCAGAAAAATCTCTTACATTTATTTTTAAGATGCAAATATGAAACAATATCCTAAAATAAAGGCTGGCCAAATGTGGTATAGCCATACAGTGGAACACTATTTAGTCCTGAAAAATGAATAACAGAAATATATCCCATATGGCAAGACAAAATAATGCAGACACAAAAAAAATCACATATTGTGTGATCAAGTTTGAGGGAAATCAGTAGTTACTGCTTAATGGAATACAGTTTCTTAGAAGGGGCACACATCTTCTAAAGTTAGGCTGTGATAATGATTATAAAACTCTGGAAATACACTTAAAACTTCAAAACAGTGAATTGCATGCCATATAAATTGTCAGCAAAGCAGTTATTAAAAATATTTTTGAAACCCATTTAGGATAACCCCCAAAACCACATCTTCCTTTGCCTACAGCATATGTTCCTATTCTAGAGCTCATCTTTTTTCCCAAACCTGCCCCCACATATCTGAAAGAAATATGTAAATTACCTCAGAGATGCTACAAACAAACTGCTGGCTAGATGTCTCTGGCACTATTATGAGACAATTGTTTTATGAAAACAAAAAGAGGTTTAAACTTAACGGATGAAAGATTAGTTTCTACTGACACAGCAAACTTTCTTTTTCGAAAGCTACTACTTTAAGGGTATGGAAACCACGCCCAGACGTAATCCCACGTTCGCGGGCAAATACAGTTACAGTAACATGTGAAATCGTTAGTGCCCATTTTAAAATTCAACAGCGTCTTGCCAAGTCACTATGCTTGTTTCGTCACTTCCGGTCGCCGAACTCCCGTATTCCACTTCGTCTTTGCCGAGCTGTCGCACAGCCACACATTTCGCGAACATCGCTGTGATGGCCGCCCAAAGAGGTACCCTGGACGCCATCAGCTTTGCTTTGAGTAAACTTGAAGAGGAAAAACTGCCTGAAGGATTCAGGATTGAGGCCACCAAGACTCAGCAAGATGACAATAAACTGTTCGTCGGAGGACTCCCGTACAATATCAGTAAGGAAACTCTTCTTAACTATTTGTCTCAGTTCGGCGAAATCTTAGATATAATGATTAAACTCAATCCAGACACAGGACTATCCAAAGGGTTTGGATTCGTGCTTTTCAAAGATTCTGCTGCTGTTGAAAAGGTGCTCCAAGTGAAAGAGCACAAATTAGATGGAAGGAAAATAGATATAAAAAGGGCAAGAGCCATGGAACCTAAATTCCCCCGTAAAAAGGTTTTTGTAGGCGGGTTGAACCCTCATACTTCAGAAGTAAAAATCAGAGAGTACTTTGGGAACTTTGGAGAGATTGAGAGTATTGAGCTTCCAGTGTGCCCAAGAACAAAAACAAGACAAGCTTTCTGTTTCATCACGTACACTAGTGAGATACCAGTGAGAAAGCTGTTAGAAACGAGGTACCATCTAGTTGGCTCTGGGCGCTGTGAAATTAAAATTGCTGCTGTGACAGAAAATCGGAGATGTCCACACAAGGGTGGAAGAGATTTTCCATTTGTTGGGTCACACAGCACCAGGGGAGGAGGCTGTGAATTTAAAGGAAGATCAAATGCAAGTGGAGCTCACAGCGCAATCCAAAAGGGTCCCGAGGTGTTTCAGAATGATTGGAAGGCAATCCCAAATATGTGGGGAGAAATACCGAGTGTTTGCGGAGCAACTGCAAATGTTTGCGGCACAACCCCACACCTTCTTGGAGCAAACCCACACTACTGTGGGGCAATCTCAAATGTTTTCGGGGCAAATCCATATGTTCAGGGGGCAAACCCATATCAACGCGGGCAGATCCCACATGTCTGCGAAACAAACGCCAAAGTTTGCATGGCAAATCCAAATATTTTTGGAGCAAGTGCTGATGCAGCAAACCCAAATGGCTTTGGAACAAATCCATATGTTTGTGGGGCAAACCCAAATGATTTTGGAGCGAATCCAGCAGGTTGCGTGGCAAGCCCAGATGTTTTCAGAGCTAATGCAGCAGTTTGCATAGCAGATCCAAATGTTTTCGGAGCAAATCCTGCTATTTGTGCCGCAAACCCACTTGTTGGGGGGCCAATGCCAGGTGTCTTTGGAGCTATCGGAGAAGGGGGATGTGTTTCTCCCATGCTTGTTCCTGTTCCCTTCTCAGTCATCAATGAAGGACTTAACTTCTCTGATCAAGTCAATAGTAATTTCCAGAACGTCAATAATAATCCTCTAAGTTTTACTGGCTATAGTGACTGTTTCCTTGGATATAACCAGGGGACTCATGTAGCACCTAGACTTCATAATTACAACGTGCAAATAAATGAGGCCACTCCTTTTGGTAATGATAAGAAAGTTATCAGCCATTCTGAAGAGGAACATTGAAGCCACTACTGAAGTAACCACTAGGAATGAAAATTTCATTATTCATAGAAAATGACCAAATGACTGTTTTCTTAGATGTAATAACTATTTCTCCCTAAACTGTTTCCAGCTGTTTTAAAACACCAGTTATTTTTCCATGACCGCTTGAAATTGGAGTCACACCACAAGGAAACCAGTTATGGACAGGTGTTTTTTTTTTTTTTTCTTTAAATCCAAGTTCAAGAATGTTTTCTGAAAAATAAATACCTGTAAGCTTTATAAGAAATTCTTTAGTGGCTTTTATTGAAAGTTGATTTATTTTGATTTATGGTGAGGGGAATCTGGGAAGTTTTACATGGCTATATAACTTTTTCTTCTTTCTTCTTTTTTGCCAAGGGTGGTTATTTGGATTAGAGCTCCACAGGTTCAGGGAAAGAGATCTTATGGTTTCCCTCTAGATTCTCCATATGTTTAAACAATACCTTCTGGCATTCATTCAATATTAATTAAAAGTTTTTCAAAACCAAAAAGTGTTCAGTGTAGATTGATAATCAGTCTGTACAAAAAAAGTCAAAAGTAACCAAAATTATCAAAAGGAAAAAAATGAGACATAATATGCTCCACTCAACTTGATATTAATAAAATATCATTTAAACATACAAAATTGAGATATTTTATATCATTTTTTTCATACCAAGTCAATGAAATCTAATATGTATTTTAACTTTCTTTAAAGATTTGTTTAGTCATTGAAATCTAGGATGTATTTTAACTTTCTTTAAAGATTTACTTATTTGAAATGGAGAATCATAAAGAAACTGGGAGGCAAAGAGAAAAGAGATGTTAATCCATTGATCATTCCCCAAATGGCCACAACAGCGGCAACTGGGCCAGGCCAAGGTGAGGAACCAGAGACTCCATCCAGGTCCCACATGGGCGGTAAGGGCCCAAGTAGAGCCATCTTCCACTGCTTTCCCAGGAGCATTATCAGGGAGCTAAATTAAAAGTAGAGCAGCTGGGACTTGAACTGGCACTTATGTGGGATGCCAGCACCACGAGCTGCAGCTTAACCCACTGTACCAGAATGATAACTGCTGCATTTTAGTTTTATAGCATATCTCAGTTCAGGCTAATAACATTTTTAAGGGCTCAACCCATGTGGATAGTGGTTATCATGGATGATACAACAGCCTCTCCCAAAATTACATGCTGAAGGACTGAAAGCTCTTTAAATACATGTTTAGCACTCAGTTCTCTCTACAAGTATGTAAAAATCAGTGAGACTCATGCTCTGTCATGTTATTCCTGGTCAGGTATACAAGACATACATGAAACCAAGATTCTGATTATTGTGTTAGAATATGGGAGTAAACTTCAAGAATTAAAATAATTTGTACATTAGAGAGAAAATGACTATTTCAAAATATACAGGGGCAGCTGCCAAATTGATGTATTATATAGTGTGGTTTCTGTTTCTTGAAAGAATTTTTTTGTTATTTTTACATCTAACAAAGGAAAAAAATTAAAAAGAAGGTAAGAAACGATTCCGGTGGGATGATTTTAACATGCACAAGGTCCCTGGGGTTTCTTCTTTGCTTGCTTTCTTCTTACCCTGTCCCTCTACACACAGACACACACACTTTCTGTAAAACTTGAAAATAGAAAGCAAAAACCCTCAACTGTTGTAAGTCATGCAATTAAAGTTGATTACTTATAAATATGAACTTTGGATCACTGTATAGACTGTTAAATTTGATTTCTTATTACCTATTGTTAAAATAAACTGTGTGAGACAGACACCCTGAAAAAAAAAAGAATATGGGAGTAAATTTGAAGTTTAAGGATTGAGAACCTATTTAGAAATATTAGAATGCAACTACACTAAAGCTACATTAAGATCTATTGTCTTTTTCTATTCTGATAATACAGCAAGGGGCTCTTACACATAACAAGAAAATAAAAATAAATACTGAGCAAGCATTTAGCCTAAAGGTTAAGATATTTGTATCCCACAACAGAGTGCCTGGATTTCATTTCTGGTTCACGCTCCTGATTCCAGCATCTGAACAACAGAAACCCTAATAAGTGGTTATAATGGCTCATAAAATTGTGTCCTTGGCACCCACTTGGGAGACCTGAATTTTATTTCTGGTTTCTCTCTCCAGTTCCAGGCTAGCATTTGCCTTTGTGGATATTTGAAAAGTGAATCAGCAGATAAGAGTTCACTATCCCTGTCTTTGTCTCTCTCCCTCTCCTGCATATTTTTAAAATTTAAGATTAAAGAAAATTAAATAACAAAAGAGGAATAAAGGAATAAATAGATAACAAGAACACTAAAGAAATAGGAGAAGGCAATGTAAAGGGAGCATTAGGTTTTAATTTAACTTTTAGTGGAACTCCTTGTAACTTAAATTTTTAAACAACTGGAATTGCATTAATGATGAGATAATTTTAAATCAGAAGATATTTTATTAAGAATACGGAGAAGAAATACAGGTGAAATTTCTGTGGAAGATTATTTGTGTGTGTCTGTGTGTATATCAGCATAGGTATTCTTGAGAGTTTGATTCTTTTTCCTCTTAGGAACTAAACTAAGTGGAGTTTTTCAAAAATTTGGTGGAAAATAGGAAAGATAATTTATTCTAGTAAAAAATTTTTCAAAACAAATAAACATGAGGAATATTCCAAAAGTGTGTGGAAAATGTACATTATGAAAAAAGCATGAATTTCAAAACTCTTTCATACCAAAATAAAACTTACTTGTCAATTCCATTTTTCTACAACTTTAAAAAATTTTACTAAGCTGAAAGAAAAGATGGTACATATATACTATGGAATATTACTCAGTTATAAAAAGGAATGAAATCATATCGTTTGAGACAAAATAGATACAACTGGAAAACACTACTATACTTAGCAAAATAAACAAGTCCTGAAAAGAAAATAGCATGTTTTCCCTGATCTGTGGTAAGTAATAGAGTATAAAAAATGTCATTTATAACTATTTGCATAGCAATTGAATAGAATTATTCCTGTTCATAAACTGTTGAGAAGAAATGGCTTAAAATTTAAATGAACTTAGTTATTATAACCACAGAAAAATATTTAGATGTTACATGGTCATTGTGTAAATTTCATTGGAAGAAATTATGAATCACTAATTGACATAAATGGTCATTTATACATTCAACTATTGTGTATAGTCTTTGTTTATATTCCCATTCAGGTCTTTTTGCTTTTTAGTGTTAAAATTTCTATTTGGTGATATGTTAAGCTTCTTTACTATAATGTAAATATAAAATGTTATATCAAAAATAAAAAATAATGAAATACTGTGTGAGGGAGGGAAGAGGGGAAAATCATTTTATTCTTAGACTTGCATGTATGAAGTATTAAATACTAATTAAAATGAAAATAAAAAATGAAAAATAAAAATACACTCACACACAAAAATAAGAAAAGCACATTTCCAGAGATGGAAAAGGAGAGAAATCTGCCCGGGTGTTCACTCACCAAATTGCTTAAAAAAAAAAAAAAGCCAGATCTGGGACAGGCCAAATCTGTGGCAGGGTCTCAAGTACTTAGGCCATATTCTGCTGTATTCCCAGACACATTAGCAGGAAACTGGTTCATAAGCAGGGTAGCCGGGTCTCAAATTGGCACTCCAGTACAGGAAGGGATGCCAGTGTACAAGGGGAGGCTTAACCTGCTGTGCCAGAACATCACCTCCACAAATTTTTGTAATTCCCTCATATATTGTACTGAACATCAGCTTGAAAATATCAGGGGAATTAATCAATTGAGTTAATTTAAATATTGCCCCATGATCAATGTCCTAGGAATAGCTCATGAAAGCCTAAAGTTTTCTGATGATTTAAAAACAAATAATATACACACATAAATGAGTTTTTATTTCATATTTACAGTATATTATCAGTAAAACAAGATTTTTATATTATTCCTTGAAGGAAATATTTATTGAGTTAAATTTATATGAAAGAAGATCAAATAAAACTTTTCAAAGAAGAAACCCTTACTGTGTAGTAAAGGAATATTTTTTTCTTCACTCATATAAATATTAAATAGTCACAAAGCCATTAAAATCATTGTAGTATATTATTCCTATGAATGTTTTAAAATACTTAAAATTTACCAAAATACTATATTTATAGTAAAACTGATAAAATCAGGCCTTCCTACTGCTTTCCTTTAATTTTAGCTACCTAGCTAGGTGGTATCTGTCTGTGTCTGGCTTATTTCACTAAATATGATACCATTCAGTAGCAACCATTTTGCTGCAAGTAACAGAATTACATTATGTTTTATATCTGAATAACATTCATATATATATTTTAAATATGTTTTATATATATAATTTTCATTATCTAGTTGTCTGATGGTAGACTGGTTGTTTCATATTTTGGCTGTGAAAACTGCTGCTATAAACATGGTGGAAGAGGTTATCTCTTTTATAACAATCACTTCATGTTTTTTGGCTCTATACCTAATAGATTATGACAAGTCAATTTCTACTTTTTTTGTCTTAGGAAGTTTCCATACTATATTCCACAGGGGCTTCACTGAATTACATTACCAGCAACAGCATATAATACTTTTCTTTCTACACAACTTCACCATCATTTGTTGTTTTTATTTTTAAAATTTTTATTTTTTCTTGAAATCAGAAATATTAATATCACAAAGTGAGGGATTAATAAGATGAGCATAAAGTGGGGGAAAGAAGGATGTATTGACACATGGTCTGAGTCAATGAAATAATATTTGTAACTTAAACAATATTGCATTGACACAATATTTATATTCTATGCTTTTCTTTGTGATATTGGATTATTTCATTCGCCATAATGATGTCCATTTTAATGCAAAAGTGAAGATTTTATTATTTTGTGGCTAATATTCCCTCCTATGTATACACATTCCCTCCTGTGTATACCACATTTTCTTTATCCAGTCATCACTTTGAAAGACATCTAGGTTAATTCCTAATCTTTGCTATTGTGAATTGACCTCCTACAAATATGGAACCACAAATAACTCTTTCATAAGCTGACTTCATTTTATTTGGCTGTTTTCACAAAATTGGGATAGCCGGGTCACATGGTAGATTTAGTTTTCCGAGAACACTCCATACATATTTCCATAATGGTTGCAACAATTTGCATTCCTATAAATAATGTATTATGATACCCTCTTCGCAAGCTGAGCAGCTTGCATTTTCATGATGGCTAGTGACTCTGAGCATTTT